TGAGTTCGAGCCCCGCATCAGGCTCTGGGCTGATGGCTCAGAGCCTGGAGCCTGTTTCTGATTCTGTGTCTCCCTCTCTCTCTGCCCCTCCCCCGTTCATGCTCTGTCTCTCTCTGTCCCCAAAAAAATAAATAAACGTTGAAAAAAAAAATTAAAAAAAGAAGGATGGTCTTTCCTTGCCCCACCAAGGACACACTAATGAAGGCATGCAGCCACTGAATATCTGCCACAGCCTCACACTGTTGTTCCTCAGTGAACTTTCATTGAAATCAGCACTCCCCAATCTCCTCCTAAAACCTCATAAAAACTGACTTTACCTGTGTCTCTTGACACTTGCCTGTGGACACTTGCCAGTTAAAATTCCACTGTTATTCCTAAATAAACTCAGTTTGCTAGTAAAATAACTGGCTGTTTATTTTTAAGCTGGAAAGTATTGCTCAATGTTTGCAGAAATGAAAATTTCACATTTTGCAGATAAAAGTCTCACAAAGACCAAGCACATTGGTCTGGCACAGCCACATGCTCTGTTTCATTGTATCCTTTCTCAGACTACTTAGAGCCTTCTTCTAATATTTATGTGAGTTCCAAGGCTCACTTGTTAGAGTGTCCAACTTCAGCCCAGGTCATGGTTTTGCGATCCCTGAGTTCCACCACCACACTGCACTCACTGCTGTCAGGACAGAGCCTGCTTCAGATCCCCTGACCACCGCCTCCCCCCACCCCACCCCCCCACCCCCGGTTCTCTATCTCTCACCTGGCTGTATTCTCAAAAATAAATAAACATTTAAAAAAGAAAAGTTCTGTGAATTCTACTGTTTTTTGGTCTTTACTGATGTGTAGGAATATGGGATGTGGGTTTGCCCTTAGGTATTTCTGTTACTGTCTTTAAACCACTAGATAAACGTTATGAACTGCTTTTTGAAATGGGCATTTCACATCTGATTTTCTACGATAATTTCAGTTCCTACTGCCAGTACCTGCAGAAATGAGAATCATTTCCCAGCGAGGAGATGAGATCATTGGGTTCAGATTCTCCCTTTGCACACATGCTCCAAATGGAAATGGCAACAGTATTTGGTACCAAATATAGCATCTGTTAAGTTGCTCTCTGAGATTGATGTCAAACTCCTATAAGGAATTGGGTATATCTGAGAATATGGAGTAAGAAATATATGGATAAAGGTGTTCCTCAATAGATGGGACACAATCACTATACAGGCAAGTGAAGGTTTGTGTGGAACCAGAGGCTGACCTCCTCATTGTCCACCTAACTCAGGGTGACTTGCCATTCATCTTCCTTCTTCCCTGTCACAGACATGCATGGAGTGTGACAAAGTAAACCACAGGCCCCAGATGGAGTCCCTTCTGCTAGGTCATGTCACCAAACCTGGGCATAATACCTACACTCATTGTACTTTCAACCACCCCCAGAAATTTAGTTTCCACTGGCCACTGAGGAATTTTGTGGTCAGCACTAAAAAGGTAATCAGTTACATGGATGGGTCCTCTCCATCACCCAAAGGAAGATGAGATATTTCTCTAATAAGACCCATTTGTCCCCCAATTAAGATGACCTCAACTGACATAATCCTTTTTTTTTTCTGTTTATGATGTTTTTGTCCTACCTTTAAAAAGCTTTTCCTAAAAACAAAAAAACAAAACAACACAAACCAACACCAAAAAACCTTTCCCTTTCTGTAGCCCTTTGGAGCTTCTCACTACTTGCTAGGTGTGATGCTGCCCAATTCACGAATCAACGAATAAAGGCAAAAGACCGTTAAAATGTACTGGGCTGAATTTTTGTTGTTTAAAGAAACTTTTCTATTGTTCCTAACCAATTACAAAACTGACTCTAACGCTTCACGGTGCAAGTGATGAAGAGCAACAACTTTCCAGCTGTGTATACTCCTTTGATTTCTGAAGCGCTGGACACATTTGAATGATGTGTCCTTTACCTCAGGAAGAGGTCGTGGGAGCATATAAAATAATAATTTTCCTCTTTGGAAGCTGATTGAGCTTCATGGTGTGTGAAGTTAGGGCTCTTCTCTGTCTTTAACAATGTGCAAAGCAGTTCCCCGTGGGTAGGAGCAGCACTTTCCACTAACCCTCGGGGTGCGGCGTGTCCAAAGCTCCAGGGTGCAAAACCTACCTCTGGTGGCAATACTGCGCTGGGAGCTAAGGTACCCGGAAGGCACTGGACACAGAGGACAGAGCGAGGAGCCAACAAGGGTACAGGAAAGGGATTTCTAGGCGTGCGCAGCCGCTGGGGGCGGGACTTCCGGCCTCACCCCTCGGACGACTTCTGGCCTTTCCTCAGGTCGGCTCAACCTCTAAGGTTCCGGAGCGGACTATCGGGGAGGAGGTGGCAAACTGACAAAGCGCGAGGGGAGGCGACGTCCCCGCCGAATAGACTGGGGATAACGACTCGCTGACGCCACTCGGGCTGCTCCCCGCCGGGGCCGGAACTGGGACCGCGGGCTCGAGTGTCAGTTCTCCCACAGAGTCCGATGGCGGCGGCCGCGTCGAGGAACCCGGCTGAGGTAAACGCGCGGCCCCCGGGCCCTCCCGCCCCGCCCTCCCAGCCTCCCCCCCGCCAACCCCGACCCTCCAGGCCCGAGCGCGGGGCGCCTGCTCGCGTCCCTGCGGCCCAGGTCCCGGTGTCCGGGCCCGGGAGGCGCTCGCGGGCGGGGTCCCCGCGTCTGAGCGCCGGCGTGACGGGGTGCGGGAACGAACGGGCTGCAGGGGAGGGGCCGGCTGGTGCACGGCTGCAGGGGGCCTGCGCCACCAGCGGGGCACGGCAGGTCTCGGTTGGTTCAGCGAACGCAAGGTGCAGCGGCGCCCGTGAGGCCTGTCACCTGGCTGCCTGACCAGTCCATCCGTGCTGGCGGTGTGCCAGGCGGTGTAACCCAGGTGTAAATACATAGGCCCAGTCTGGGTGCGGAGAGGACAGATTGCAGGGGTGGGGGGCAGAGGGGGCAGGGAGCGCAGGAGGGGGTGCCTGCGCCACTGTATGTCATCGTTGACGGGCCAAACGGTCACCGTGGATGTCAGAGAAGCGGTTGAATTTTGGCCCCGGGTTCGAGAAGGGCCAAAGCAAATTTGGGGTGTTGCAGGAGACAGGAGAAAGGGAGGGGTCCCGGAATGCCTGGGGGCTTTGGTCCTTTGAAGTCTAATCTGCCAGTTATTTGACGGGCAAAACTGAGTTTCTCTGAGAACGAAAGAGCACCGCAGTCTGGAACAAGCAAGCTGAGGCTCAACAGTAGGCCAGTCTGGAGGACACGAGAGAGGTAGGCTTTTTTAAAGGGGGAGGGGCTAAATTGGGAAGGCTGTTAAAATCTACAAGTCCCTGAGAGTAAACTGGGAATTGAAAGTATAGTGGCTTCCCATTGGCTGAGCTGTGGGTGGGGTGGTCCCGAAAGCCTGCCTTTTCCCTCTGGGCTAGTAGAGGAGGTAGTTTCCCAGTCCCCAAGTTCAAGTGTGTCGTCCTGTCGGGTCTGCACTGATCATGGCGGTAGTGCGTGAGAGCTCCCCCAGCTGCGTCCTCCCGACTCCCTTTTAGTGAGGTTTCCCGTTTTTAATTTTCAGCGGTCCTAGCAGCGGAAGGTGTGGACGCTCCATCAGGGGGACGGAAGGTGGCAGTAGGTTGATTGTCCTTGGAGATCTCCCAAGTTGCTTGGACGTCGTTAAGTCTTAGATGTTCAGAGAGGCGTGGGTGACGTCATCCAGTGAGCAGCGGGACAGGAAAACCCGGGAAACCGGGGCAGGTTTCAGGATGGAAACTTTGAAAAGTGACGGCAGTTGTGTGGCCCCGGCGGAGGTTTGGATCACATTGAGGAGGGGGTGCAGACTAGGGGGGCAATGCTATTAGTAGGTCGGAGGGCCTTAGTGAGGTGTGCTGAAGAGTGGTCCCCTGGCTCAGCGCCTGCTTGGGGCTGCTGGGCAGTGCGGGCACAGGCGAAGGAGAGAGAAAGATGTGGCAGATGGATGGGTGGGTAAGGCTTCCATGGCATGATGGGACAAGAGATGGCTGAGGACACCTAGGAGTAATTGCGGCAAGGTGACAGGGAGTCTGGGGCTGCCCTTTATTCAGTGGTGTAGGGCTTCAGCAGAACTTTGTGGTGCGCTTTTCTGGTGTCCCGGCCGTTTCACAGTCTTGCTGATGGATAAGGTGTGGGGCCAGTGTGGTCACTTGTGCGTCTCTGTGCCTGGCAGGGAGACCTTTAGGGCTGGGCTTTTCACAAAGGTTCAGTGCAGAGTGGAGGGTTGTGACTGTTGGAGGGACAGCATGGGCAGCACAGAAGTATTAGAGGGACTGGGAGTATCTGAAACGGCCACGTGGCTGTGGGTGTGTGTCCCTGAAGCCAGGCTCCCCGGCAGGCGAGGGGGACTTCTCGGCCGCATTTGAGGCTTTCCCTCTGGTGGGATCCATGAGAGTGCTGGGGTTGTAGTGGAACCTGTTTGGATTTGTCACACATCCTTTGGGTGTCATGTGACAGGTACCAGTGTGAGTCAAGGGGGCATCCTTTGGTGTGGGGCAGGAAGCTGTGGGGGCGCAACTGTGGGGTCTGAAGGTGTGAGGGAGATGCAGACTACAGGGTCATGTTCACTTGGAGAGGGAGTGAGTGTGAACTTAGGGTCTCAGGGCCCTTGGGATTGGAGACTGACTGGTCGAGGTCGGTCCATAATTGTCTGTGTTTGAGGGCACATTCGGGGAGACTCCATGGGAATTTCCAGGCAGAAAGGATGGCGCTTGGGGGGCCAAACCCAGATCGGCCCCCGCAGATTGCATGTATGCACCCCCTCCCTGTTATTGCTGAGGACCGAGCACAGTGATTGATGGGATGGTGAGGAGACGGTGGCATGAATGACACCAGGACCTGGTATTTATTCTGAGGTAGGAGCTGGGGTGGCTGGGGAGAATGGGGTGTATGTGTCAGGGTTTAGATTGTGGGTTCCCCGAGGGAGAATGTTCATGGTGCCATCTGTCCGTTTCATGACAGGGTGGTGTGACCTTTGAGGACATTGCCATCTACTTCTCCTGGAAGGAATGGAGACTTCTTGATGAGGCTCAGAGACGGCTGTACTATGATGTGATGCTGGAGAACTTTACACTTATATCCTCCCTGGGTAAGGCCCTCA